TCTGGCAGCAAGTCAGCGCATGTCGTGAGAGCAGCGTGGAAAGTGTACAATAGCGCAAAGAAGCAGCCCCAATCCACTACTTTCCCCTCCTTGATGCACCACACAGCTCCCTCTTCATCGTCTTCATCCTCAACGTAGACTCCATCCCCCAGGTCCTCATCCATATCATCCCCCTCTTCTGTATCGATAGCCTTGGGGCTCGGCTCGCCAGTAAGTAGTTTCTCCTTCTTCTCCGGCGTCGCAGCAGTAGCACTACCAGATCCCTCCTTCAACTCTCCTTCCTCCATATCGTCATCGTCTTCTCCATCATCATCGGCATCCTCCTCTTCCCCTGCCGCCGACGCCTCTGCCGCCTCCGCCGCAGCCTCCGCAGCACGCTGCCCCTTCGCCTGCGCAATCAGATCTTCCTTTTCGCCGTCGCGAGCTTCGCGGATCTTCGTAAACGTCCAGGTACCTTCTTCGAGACCGGGAAACATGCGCGAGGGGATACGCAGCTTGGGAGGAGTGAATGATTCTGGGAGTCCGAGCTGCGCAAGCGTCGTTTGAGAACCGGGCGCGATTATCTATGGGCTGTTTAGCGAAGGGAGGAATTGAGGGAGGGAGGGAGGTACGAGGATGTGGTCATCGCGGAAGGGCGGCATGGTGGGCCCGCTAGTAATGAGTGCGCGCGTGTGTTTGGATTGGTTGTTTGGAAAGAGGGAGTTCGCGATGGTGTTGCGGCTCGGTGGAGAAGCGCGTCGCGCGGGAAATTAGGAGGTGGCTTGGCAAGATGGAACCATTGGAGATCACTCGTGGAGGCTAATTTTGCTGTGGAACGTGACACAGTAGTCCACAACTCCTGCAGTTCGACGTTCAACATCATTAGAGTCTTTCTCCTCATTGTTGGAGAAGAATCACCGCCTGAAAAGAAAGATCTAGTCTCAATAAAGTTTTCATCTATTGATGGTACTAGTATTGTGGACATGTCTTGTACAATAGGCAGCCGCAAGTGCAACTCAACATAGCGCCTGGTGGATTTTATTCGCTCGGAAGCTTTAAGGTTCACTTTATAAAGAGTACTAAGTAGACTGAGAAACAGAAGGGGCGAGAATGGGGGGGAGGTCCGTGTAGGGGATCAGATGTGAAAGACCCCACGCGGAATGCCAACATCGTCCGGATGCTTCTGGGCACTCTGGGAAGTGAGTAACTACTTGTACCGGGTGAAAGAGCGCTGCAACACAGGGTGTGCAGCTTGGCTTCCCTTAATACCCATATTCACATATGCTTCTATCACTTCCTCGGAACATTATGTCACGAAGTCACAATTCAAGAACAGCAACATAGAAATTAACATGAGGTGAAGAACTTGTTCAATTCACACACTATTTCTCCTCCTCCCAGGTCATCGCATCTAACCATGTGTCTTGAAGCTTCAGGAATGACACAAGAGCACAACATTCGCTAGTAGTGAAATCGCGTTCTCTAACCGTTATCGTACCATCATTCCCATGTGCATGCTTCGACACAAGCGGCCAGCACAAATCATAACGTCTTTTTGGAAATCTGCTCGACTCCGCGCCTGAGTCTGCCGGTGCTGTGAGCAGTCTAAAACTTTCACCCCCGTCTGTGAAGTTCCTCCAACTTCCGGTTTATTTTCCAAGCACTAGCAAACCTCCCGTATAGTATCATCGCTTTTAGATACTCTCACTGCGCCCGCTACTTCCAATATATCTTTCAACACAAGCTTGCGAACAGCAACTTCTTTGTTAATGATGTTGGCAAAGTCAGGAAGCTGGGCAAGCGCATCAAGCTTCTTTTGGACCCCCCTGGTCGGAATCTGTATGGTCAAGGGAAGCCTTGTACATGATACGTTCTACAGTTGTCAGCGATACATTGTCAGTAAACTGGATCCGAACAGCATACCCACCAGTCGCTCTGGAGCTGCTGATAGAAAACAAACGAATCTGAAAAGTCGCAGGGTCCCGTTTCACGGTTGCGGGCATGAAAGTGTGCGCGAGGGGAAACTTGTTGCACGAATGGGGGAGAGCAACGAGCGATCGTCCCGACAAGACGACAAGAGCACAGCGGCTGCCGCAAGAGAGAAAAGCACGGAGCATTCTGGAAGTGGTCGGTGTGGCGCTGGGGAGGGATCGGGGGGATGATCGTGCGGTCGACGAGGAGAGTCTCCAAAACAGAGGACGAGATGACAGGTTGATGTCGCGAAGTAGGTGGTAATTAAGTTAAACATTGAGTTGAGCGAGACGTCCTCCTGTGCACGTGACCAACACGCAGCTCGTCCCCAATGCAACTGTAGCAGGTTACAGCAGGTCGTTGTTTACCCTGGTAACTTGTCCAAACAAGAATCAGGGCGACGCCGAGGAGGAAGGAATTAGTTATCATGGCCTTGGATAAAAGTCCTTGCCCTCCTCCACGGATCCATCGAAGCTCTAGTGCACTAGTGCTCCACACACTACAAATCCCCGTACTCCTGGGGGGTGTTAGGGTTCCAAACATCCTCCTCTGGCTCGGTCTCCTCCTCCGAATCTAAGATGTAGTCGAAGTCGTCGATACCGACCCCGAGGCAGAGGGCGCTTTGTCTATGCAACCCTCGCCTCAGGTGTCGGTAGTGGCGGGGACCATAGTCCAACCACTCCCACGGTTGGATACGGGCCCACTGCCACAGATGCCTATCAACCTCGAGGTCTATTCGGGCCTGCTTAAAGAGGCCCTCCCTGAACGCCGCCCCAGGCGTTGCGGGAAACAGCTGTCCCTTTTCGGGTACAGACCGAATCCTGGCAACCGGAGCCTCTGGTGTTTTGGCCTGAACGACTTCACCTCGTTCGCAGCGAAGTCGTTCAAGGCGCGCATTGGAAAGTGCCTTGCCAAAACACCAATTGCGTCCAGGGATTTTTGACTTGTAGACCTCGGGGTATTGATAGGCATCTTCGACGTCTTCTGGGATTCGGCGGTAGTCGTAATAGGAGGAGGGAGAACCGGATCCAGAGGAGGTCTCGTCGGCAAGGGCAATTACCCTCTCGATGAGAGCGACATAGTCTTCAATAGTTTTCATGGGCTCTTGGGCACCATCTTTATATTCATCGTCTTCATAGTTCAATTTTGTTTCCTCTTCGTTCTTCTCTTCCTGGAGAGTATTGACGTTCTCATTTTGTGCATTCTTGAAAGAAAACTTCGAAATTCTTGAAACATGCCGTTTGGCCAACGCTTTAACCTTCTGCAGCGTGAGCGGAACATGTTTTGGCGCCTTTGTTGGCGACTTTCCTTTCCTAGCCTTCATCTGCTTCAAGCCTTTGATGACATCCATCGAAGCGAGGGCCTTGCGAAACTTGGATAAGGTCTTACGTATATATTGTTCCTCTTTGCTAGATTGAGGCTGTTTCTTGATATCCTTTTCTTCTAAAAGTTGTTCCTCTTCGGTAAATTGAGGCTCTGTTTCGATATCCATACCTTCGGAATAATTGTGCATGAGAGTATTGATACTCTTAGTAGCTAATGCTTTTCTGACCCGTTTCTTAGCATCCAACGCTTTTCTGATCTGACTCTTTGGCGCCAAGATCTTGCGTCTTTGGGATAGATGTTCAACAACTGCGGTAGACGATAGTTTGACCCTCTTTAGTGGGACGATGTCCGCGCTTTCGGTAGCGAGGCGCTTCAACAGAGGCATGGTAGGTGTTGCAGGTGGGGTTGAAGGAGCTTCGGAAGAGGTTGAGAGTAGTTCGGATCGGGTAGCTGGTGATTCATCCATTCTTGATGATGCGGAATCGAGAAGTTCTTTGGCTTAAACGACTAGATGAGGAATTAATCAATTGCACATGGTGAATTGAATTGGATGACGACTTACTTAAATGTGTCCAGTAATGTATGTTTCACGAAGCTGTTACTGATGCTTGTGATAAAGAGAGACGAACTGTGTCAATCTTTCGGAAATGTAGTGCGTATCAAGAAATCTTTGATGATACTTCGGACAATGGAGAGCGTGTGGTTATGTGTGTTTCACAAAGCTGAGAAAGCTTGTGACAAGAGGCGAGGCGTGTATGTGCTTATCACAAAGTGAAGATAGAGAGAGACGGAGCGTAAGGTTCGATCTTGAGGAGACAGGAACTGTGGAGAGTTCTGAGTCGACTTGGATGAGTGCTCTAAACTTCTATTGAGCGCTGTGGTATACACCTTTCATACTGCAACACAAATATGTGATATCACGTGGTCAGCGAGTGATTTGATATGTATAGTGTTCAAATGCGAAAATATAGTTTGAATGGCGATCGACTAAGATGTGTGGTGACGGTGATATGTAGAGGAAATCGCTTGGATGGGCTTAGAATTGGGCAATCAACCTGTTGCGCTCAATGTGAAGCGTTTTTGTCCCCTCGTCTGCTCATAACCACTATCACAAGAAATTTTCAGCGGTACGGACGATGTGTTTACTTTAACTTGTAAGTATTTGATTCACATGATGTTGGAGAATATCCGGATTGCCAGAAAGCTATGTAGTCCACCATAGTATGATAGCGGAACCCGGTTCACGAGGGATAATTACAATTACCACTCGTGGACGGTTGGCATTCAAATACCGCGGCCAGCTTGAATTGAATCCAGTGCCATTTTTCGTCCACCACTCACCCTGCTCCTTCTGAATCTCACAAACCCGCCGGGCTGGCTTGGGACTTTCGCAGACTGTTGAGACATCGTAGTGAATGGAATGTTGATAACGGTTAAGGAGGTGATGAATTTGCTGTTTGGCACTGTCCAGATACGGATAAGTGTCGGAGAAGGCGAAAGATGGTACACGCCGCCTCGCGGGACTAATCTGTCTCTCAAATGTTGACGGTAGTTCAATCGTGGGTATTAGGGGGAGGCGCAACAGTGAGGTTGATGAAGTCAACGGCGCTAGTTCCTGATCGCAAAATCGGAGGAACAATGCTGTGTACTTGTCTCCGAGTCGCTAGGATTTACACCGAGACCAGCGTTGCATGCTCAAAAAAAAAAAAAAGGAAAAAAGGTACGGCCCGAATCCGGGTTTGAACCGGAGACCTCCTGCACCCAAAGCAGGAATCATACCACTAGACCATCCGGGCTGTTTTGTGTTGGATTACCCCATTTATATTATATAATTATTTGTTCAGTTGCAAAGAGGCTTTGCACATCTCTCTCCTCATCCCACTTCCCCTCCGTCTCTATCTCAAAGTTTACTCCCACCCCCACCCCTTATTATTCAAATCCTCAATACCAGTATCAGGATATGCACACCCTTGCGCCAACGGACTCCGTCCTCCTCCTCCTTTCTTACCAACAACTGCACCCTTCATCCCTCGAGATAACCTCTCCAAGTTGAGGCATCATCGGTTTTTTTCCCCACTCAAACACCTAGCGACCCTTTTGTGGTCTGTGAGAATCTCTAAGCTGGGAAGTTACGATAAGGAGTGCGACGGCATCGTGTTCGACTAGCTGGAACACTTTGAAGCTTGTTGGACCTTGACATCGATTAGTGCACTGTTCCTATGCGGCGGCCTGCGTGAAGCTGATCCTGGCCTCCAAAATTGAACCGTGCCGGCCTGATCTCTAGGGACCTTAGATATTTGAAAGCCCGTAGCCTTTTTACTGCATAGGCTTTTAAACAGGAACACAATGGGTCAGCACAGTCGAGGCAAGCAACAACGCATTAACGTCAGCCTCAGTAGAGTTAGCACCCAAACGCACTATCACCATTCGACCGGGAAAGACGATCTCTGTACGAGGTCTGCTGTTCGGCCATACGTCACCGGAGAATATCAGCATCATGGATCTTAGCCACATACCTGTCCTGTACACGAGCATCCCCGCTTCTGCTGGGCTTCCTGCGGAAATGGGCGGCGTTGTGAAGTTAACGACAGTGACCCATCTTGCCGGAGTAGCCAGCCAGGGCTACGAGATCAAACGCTTCCGTTGTGACAATGGCTCTGAATTCGACAATCACACACTATTGGAAATCTTCAACACCGCCGGCATTTCTTTCGAGCCCTTCCCCTCCCACACCCAACACAAAATGGCGTTCTGAACGTATGATTAGAACCCTTAACACTAAGGCTAGAAGCATGATGATACATGCTGAATTCCCCATGCGATTCTGGGCTGAGGCTATTTGAGTGGCTACTTACCTCCACTAACGTACCCCAACCTCCAGCCTTCCTGGTCATCAAACGCCATACGAAATGCTACATGGCGTCATCCCAGAAATTCACCATCTCCGTCGATTAGGATGTACCGTCTACAAACATATCCCTAAGGCTCAGTGAACAATCACGACCTTGCATGATGATTGGCTACGTCCATAAAACGACAAAAATATGGCGAATATGAGACTTCCAGGACGACAAGACCTCATACGAACGAGCAGACGAACGCTCCATCACGATCTTTATGGAGCATGAAAATGCCTTCTCAGCGATAACCATGGGTTATGAAGTCGTATTTGATGGATCAATATGCTAGAGTCCTGTTTTTGCTCTTGCTGACCGAACTGACATGGACTTCTAGATTGCAGCGTTTTACGAACCATTTGACGAAGGTTTGTGCTAGGGCTTTGTGTGCTTGGGAAAGACGGATGGGCGTTGGGTTGCTTAGCTTGTGTTGAAAGATGTTATGGCTTGTATGGGGCGTTTGTATCACGAAGTATCAAAACATGCACATGACAACAATAGGACCTTTACTCCTAAGGGAGCAAGACTTCACCCCAAACAAATATACCGCTCTTAATAGATATTTCAAGCTAAAAGACACAGATCTGAATCTTTGACCTAGAAGTTAGAGAAGGAGTCGGGAGGAGATGACTTGTATACTGCGCTTATATTGGGGGTCTTCGGGTTAAACTCAAGGCGAAATTATAGTGAGCATTTATATTGCATTCAGGTATCACAAGCAAACACATTGAAGAGTCAGAAAAACATATAAACATGAGAAGACCCTTAGTAGATTCCCCATTAACCCATGTCAACCCAAACGACTGTTCCAACAAGACCGTGGCGAACAGTGCACTCGTCATCCTCGATAACCCAGCCGTCGACGACACACCTAGACTTCAACTGAATACCGTCGTCGTGTTCCTCGAATGTGACTTGCATTCCGAAGTACGACATGTCCTTAGCAGTGAATGTGACGCCTGTGGCCTGCACCCGCCCTAGGCATTCGTGGTAGTGAGCTCCTCCGAGTCTGTATCATAGTACTCCCAGTTTTGAAATCCTATAATCAGCCCCACACCTTTCTCTTGCGAATCGCCATCCCCGAGAACAATTCCCTGTGGAGCCCTGAATGGCCAATGACGGATTTGGGCTCGCCCACTCGCCCCGGAGTTCTTTGGGCCGCAGCTTCCATGCATACTCTGAACGCTTACGACGGCGCTTGGTGATTTTGGTGCGTGACGCGATAGTGAGCTTGATCGTTTGACCTTCTGGGGGGGGGGGATGATGGTCGAGAGACTTCTTTGGCGACGGTGGTGGTGGTAGATTGCAAATTGCTCCGATTGTAGTTGCCAGTGCTGGGGAAACTTCGGTCTCCGAGCTTTGCAGTTCCATACCCCCTGTAGAGATATGGGGGTGCGATGTAAAGATAACATAGACAATGTCCTCGGTCGCTTAATTGCCTTTGGCATGAAAACGGAGTCCCGCGGCTTCTTAAAAATCGTCTTGCCCCCAAGGAACACGCATACGCTCGACGTCTGGCAGGACATCCAATATTCCCAGGTACTCTCCGGGAACTCGTAGCTCAGGAAGTTGCGGACCGGGTCGGGGAGTTCTGATAATCGTTCAAAAAACTCCACTCTGTCAGGCATGTGTGCAGTCCTGCTGTGAGTCAGTGGAAAGGATCCTAAAGCTTACAGGCGGGATTCTATCACTGCTGGCTGATTAGAAGCATGAACGCCTTAGTGCCAGTAAGTTCTCGTACCAACCATTGAACACGCTAATGTTCCAGGAGTGTCCTTCAGAGGTGCTTGGATGTCCCGTCCACTCTGCTGTTCTGCAGAATCCCATCCCCCCGCTGGACATAGGGCGGGCCGAGTCTGTCGTTGTTAAGCCTCCCTGAGGGTTAAATCCCAACGCTGTGTAAAAACCCGCAATCACCTCTTGTTCTGTGATCGCCCCTGTCTCGCGTCTCGAGGAACTCCGGTCGTGGCCGCGCCTGCCGGTGTAGGCGTAGGCGTAGGCGTAGGCGTTACTGGCACGTGGCCCGCAGAAGTCTGCATTGCGGTAACGAGGGTGAGAACTGGGTCTCGACGGTATCGAGGGAAACTGGAAAGTTCGTAGCAGGAGTTCCAATCGGTATGTTGGTGATGGGGAGGGAACGGAGATGCTGAGGAGATCGAGATGATTGCGAAGTTGGTGGGAGTGTTCTGGGTCGTGACATGGTCCAAGCAGCGAATTAAAGGACAGAAAATAGTGAGCCAAAAAGCGAGCAAAGAGCAGACGTTGCGAGTTGGGAGAGCTGGATACGGAGGACGGAGGCAATTTGCCAGTCCAAGCCCAATTAACGAACACACATCCGCCATCGACTCTCCACCCTCCAACCCGACACTGACCAAGATTTTACGACATCGGCATCTAGCGCACTACAACCCTTCAAAGATTCGAGAAATACTGTCAAAGTTGACTGGGTGAGTGATGGCCCATGACGTGAACCTTACCAACATGCATGTTCAGCAACCAGAGGCCATGGATTGTCCGCCGAATTATACACATTTGGCCATGATTTAGACCAGTAAGAAACGACCCTGATATACAGTAATTGATCGAATACAGGAATATACGGCCGTGCACGTAGTGAGACGAAACGAGTAGAAACAAACAAACGACATCAATCATCACAAAGCCTACCACACCGCATATTGGTATCGTCCCCGTTTTACTCCATCAACCCCTGCTCAACCGCGCCAATCCCCATTGCAACTCCCCTCGAATACCACCTCGACAAAGCCAAGCTGCCACCCATAAACCACAATCCCTTCTTCGCCTGTCTCCAAATCCCTTTCATCTCGGCGTTCTCATTGAATCCCCAAACATCGCCGACTCCCTTTAAGTTTTCCTCCCCGAGGATTTTCCTCGCTGTCGTCACCATGCTCCCATACCCAGTTGCAAATACAATCTCATCTGCTGGTAGAGTTCCGGTATCGAATTTGATGCCATCAGGGAGAACTTCGACGATGCTTCCAATTTTTTGGAACTTGATGGCGCCAGTGGCAATGAGATTGGAGGCACCGACGTCGAGGTAGTATCCTGGGTGTGTTAGAATAGAGTCTTTGAAACAACTGCATTTGAGGTTCCATAGTGCATGCGAGCGAGCCATGCAACGGATTCTCATGTGCAGAGTGTGAAGAGAGTTTTGTACTCACCGCCGCCGCTCTCAAGGTATTTCATGAAGAGACCGGAGTTGTCAGGGCCTTTGTCGAGAGTAAAGCCGACTTTCACAAGGCCGTCGAGGACTTCTTTGTCCCTGCGCGCGATCTCACTGGTTGCCAGGACCTGATTCCTCTTGAGCAATGCTACCGGGAAGGAATGAAACAGGAGGTCCGCATCTTCGAGAGGAAGCTACAAAGATTAGCAGATATATTAAGACTGGGTTCTTTGTCTGTCCTCAAGACACTCCGTCTAAACTCACCCCGTCTTCATCATATAGCCCCTTCATCATCACCCCCAGTAAACTCTCCGAAGTCACAACGCACGTGCTGCCTCTCTGTACAATCGTCACATCATAACCCTTCTCATAATAATCCTGTGCAATATCATGTGCCGAATTGCAGCATCCCACCACAACCGCCTTGCGTCCGTGTCCGTCCTCTTTTGCACCCGGAAAAGCAGAGGAGTGGCATATCACGTCACCTTTGAAGCTGTCTAGGCCGGAGATTTCAGGCATATGGGGTTCTCCCGAGGCCCCTGTTGCAAGGATTATGTGGCGAGGTCGCAGCTCACGATCCGGAGTCCCCGATCCGCGAGAGACAGTGACAGTCCATGACTCCGATGCCTCGTCCCACGATGACGCCAAGATTTGAGATGAAGTCCAGACATTGAGTTCCAGTGCAGATGCGTAGAACTCGAACCAATCTCCGATC